TAGGTACATAAAAATAATTAAAAGTAAATGTAATTTCAATAAATTAGTTGATTTTTTAATTTAACTTTTTCCACATATTCTAATCGACTAATTTCACCACCCTGGTGTTTCTTTCATCATTCAATAATTTTTTCATGAGATATTTGGAGTATAGTTGAAAAATAAATATGTTTCGCTTTGTAATTTTAATAATACATCAATTACTATACCTGAATGTACAAAATGAGCTGCATAAAATTGGTATTTTAAATGTCTATGATATAATACAACTGCATTTATATTTTATAGTCTGTATAATTTCATTATCCGGAATATTGGCATAAATTTAATGAGGAAATATACTAGAATTAAAGTATATTTCTAAAATTGTAATCATTAACTTAGAAACGATTTGATCTTTAGGTTCGATGGACGTTAAATCTATAAAAGCAACGGTTACTTCGGTGCATGGAAGAAAAGCTGAATCAAAAAAAAAACTTAAATCAAATCCATAGACCTTATACTATATAGTATAAGCCATAAGGTATTAAGGTCTATGACCAAATCTCTGTTTCATAGTTTTCTATGTATTCATTTCAAAGTCCTAAGCTTTGAATTTTCCAAAATCACGTTACTCTAAGTGAAATTTGAAACATTTTATTTTTTAATTTGTAAAAGCAACTAAAAATTCATCAAGTATCTAATGTTTTTTTTAAAATCAATTTTGATTATTGATAGAGAAAATTCTAAATTTTATTTTACACACAATTTTTGTACGTATTTCCATCTTAGTTCGTAGCATTTTAATGTTTTACTAGGTAGTAAACGGTAAATCATATGTACTCGTAAATAGCTTCGACAGCTACAAACATACATATATCGTGTGTAGTTAGTAAAATAATTTTGGACATAATAGGTATGTAAAATGTACTATCGGAAACTAAAAGTGAACTATTGCAACACAGATATTGAAGATTAGATATTATTTACTGGTAAGAAAAATGATTTTACTTTTTGTATCTAGTGTCTACTATCTACGTGACAAAACGTCTTGTACTCTTGTGCCTATTACTTAAAATAGTTCGATTACTAACTTAATTAATAGTATAGGTATAGCTTCTTCCAAATATTGATGTATTGTCGGCAAAGATTTACATCTATGTATTGAAACTCGAACATTTCCAATATTATCTGAAACCATTATAGTATTTTCAGCAGCACATAACTCGTGACGCATTATTTTAGATGGTCGGTCAATAATATTTTCAATTACTTTTCTTTTACATCTATTACGCAAAAAATTACACTGGGCGTCATAATCGTTTATTACATCGTGTTTCGTGTACTTAAATGCTCACTACTAACACAAACAATTAATTACAGTCATATAAATAAAGTATATTTAATCTCTATTTTAATAAAAAATTTTTTTCTGTACGCCTCAATGATATACTGGCCATTCCTCATAAGAACTTATATTTTTGCTCATTGAATAAAACGCACACTATACCTTTAGTGCCTTATTAGTAGGTATTACTGTATAAGTTTTTGTAAAATTAATTTTCGGTCTTTCACGAATACTTACTCAATACCTACTAACAATATGTTAAAACACAAAACTGCTTACACACACTAATACACTATCGTATGACAATCTATCGTGATCATTCTGATCAGATAATACATTTTTCAATTAAGATTATACATTTGGAGTTTTTGAACGATAGGTATAGTTCTAAATTTAATATCTGCCATCTAGAATGAAACACAAAGGCACGATCATTCTATTTTATGTTTATATTAACCGTAGTAGTGGGGTACACAGGTATTACATTAGGGTTTAGGTGCTTTAATACGATAAGATTTTTTTTTAATTATCCCATTTTGGCGCTAATATCTTCCACTGTTTCTTAAATATCCATTCTGTATTAAATATTCAAAAATAATTGTAAATATTCGACGTTTGCACTTTCATTTGTTCTTAAAATTTAAAAATAATTAACGACTTATACTCTCTTCAACTATCTATTACCTACCCATGTATTAAACTCTTGTTGATTGAGATTTTGTTTTGAAATAATTATTAAGATAAATTAAACTTGGTTAGTAGGTACATAATTCAAAATATTCAAATGTATAAATAATATTCATAAATTTTAATTAAAATACATGCTGCATTATAATATAAAACCATATAAGATGGCTCAAACAGTAAAAAGTATAAAATGATATAGGTAGGTAACCTACCTATAAGTACCTATTATTAACATTTTTAATATCTACTTAAATTTTAAAAAAGAATAAAATTTTGAACATGTGCCAACATTTTATGCCATTTTTTAAGAAAGTTTTCTGTGTCAACCCATACATACAGTCAAGTCCAGAATCCAGATAATACTCAGTAGATAAACCGTCTTAAACATTATGTTTACTATGTATCTAATCTAGAATTAAATAGTAAGTTAAAATATATACTAAAAATATTGTAAATACTTAAAAGAAAAATCTAAAGTATCTATAAAATTTACAAATAATTAAAGTGAATATTTGTATTGTATAAATATTAGGTACCAATGTTATTTATCGTGGAATATATTGAACGACAAATATGTATTAAATTAGGTTTCTTTGATCAATGATTAATGGTGTGGTTATATTTTTTACCTACAATTAATTAATGCAATAAACAATTAATGCTTTCACTGTTTGAGATTTTAAATTTGAAGACTATAACCTAACATCTAATTGTTGTGTCATTAAAATACGCTTTGAGAAAATGTATTTTATAATAAATGCATTACTAAATATTTGTATTATTTTAATTTTATTAGATATTAACATAAATTTAAAATTTAAATTAATTTTAACAATATAGACACCTAACTTCATTAATTTAATGACAATGGTAATATTCTGGCCCAGCAAGATTATCTAATATACCTATCCTTAATATTTAAAGCATTAGATATTTTTCTTTAAATCTTTATAATGGGCAGATTTATAAATCTATCTTGAAATAATGACATTAATGATTTTTTATCATTCTCATTTCTCATAGCTAAGAAAGAATAAAGTATTTTTTTTAAACAATTTATTAAAATTGTAACACTAATCCCAAGTCTATAGAATTTTGACAATAATCACGACAAATATTTTTACATGTTTAAATTATTCACATATTAACTTTGTGAATTTAGAAATGTTTCCATGCAAGTATAAATCAAGGTACTTTAATTACAAGACATTTAGAAACTTAGCCTCCCCTATAGTGCTAATGTTTATCATAACAAAGAGAAGAAAACTGGATTAACTTTATGGGTAAAGTAGGAAGTAGATGTTTCTGTTATTTGAACTAAATATTTTTGAGAGTATACACAGAGCACATTCATTAAAAAATCTCTAATGCCGCATAATTATTTATAAATACAAAAAATAAACACATCAATAAATTTAATAGTATAACACATCTATATTTTATAAAGTGTTAAATCTGTAACCAGTTTGATAAATATTATATAATGTAGTAAAGAATTATAAACTTCTATGAGATATACGAGTCACAAATCAAATAATAATGAAAACAGTATATTAATTACAATATTTTAAGTTTTTTTAAATAGTAAAAAACATAAAATTTATGATAAATTAAAAATAATTGTTAAGTAAGAGAATTTAATTTAAATTTAAATAATTCATCAAACAATTTTAGAAGGAGACTTTAAACTTTTAACATATAAATTAATTAATAGTAGGATTTAAATTTTTTTAATAATATATCATTTAAACTCACCCATAATAATATTACATATTTTATCAAATTTCAATAAAATAAGTTTCAAACTCAATAATAAAATAAATACTACCTCGTTTTACAAAATAATAATTATCATTAAATTTAATTAATTTTGACTAGTTTGTTTATTTGTATTTATCAAAAGTCCTTTAATCGATTACAATGTTAAAATTATAAAATAGTTTAATTTAAAAGCCCATAATGCTCACATTTTGTTGTAGTTAGATAATTATTTCAAAATGTATTGTAACCTAATTTGGTATCTTAAATATAATACAATAATTAAATAGTTATAAGTGCCTGTACTTCAAATACCAGTTTAATTTATATAAATTCAAATAGGTTTGGAAAATTACTAATAATAAAGCAAGCACTAATATTAGTATTAAGAGCCAAAGGTAAAATTGTTTGAACATAATAACTAAAACCAACCAAAAATTCAGACACCAAAAATAAATAATTTATAATTTACATGCAAATGTGTATTTTAATTAATTTAAACATGCTAAATGTATTTACATAAAAATGAATAATTTAAATGACAATAATAATCTTAACAACCAATATTCTTTGTACATATTGTTTAATAGTATTTATATATATATAAAAAAAAAAATCTAACTGCTTAATACTTTATTTACATATTTATTTTCACAGAAAGCTGTAATATGTTAATTTTGTATAGTGTATGTATTTAAAATTAAAGTTTTAAGTCAAGGAAGTGTATTTATATTATAAGTAGATTAAATACTTTTAGTTATTTATTTTAAAAATGTTTTGTTTTTTTATAAAAGTAAACAGAATACACTAATAATTAAATAGGAAACATTATTATTAAATAATAATTATAATATTATTCATAAATATTAATAATTTTGTAATATAAAAATGGAATGCTTTTTTAAATATAATATTTATCTTGTTATTTTAAACATAACGTATAATTCATTTAACTCAATAAATGTATTTTTATGTACTTTGTACAATTGGCTTAACTATTTTATAATTCACATATTTTTAAAAACATCTTCCAATGATCTAACAATAAAAGTAGGATTAAAATTAAATCTGAATCTTAATTTTATTTCAAGTTTAAAAGCAATAATAAAATTTAATAATAGTTCATTTTTAATAACTCTTCTTAAAGTGTTTTTTTTTTTTTTATTATTATTAAAGAAGAAATAATTATTATATAGTTTCATATAAATCTTAATGATAAAATATTTTTAAACACAACCAAGTATGTAATTTACATACTTTTATAATAACTTAAGAGAAAAACAAATGATATAAATATGCAAGTTGATTTGTCCTTTATTTGCGTATCACCCATGATTCAATGCGATACTTAAACCATATTATGAATACATCAAGACCCATTTCCAGCCAACTCCACACAGGAACTATTTTTGAGCCTATAAAAAAAAAGAATGATTAAAATATCTAAAAATTAAATATTAATATACTACTAATCATTTACCGTCAATCTCTGTCCAATGAACTGGTACTTCAACTAATTTAAATTTCAACTTTTCAGCAATATATAACATCTCTACATCAAAAGCCCTAATAAATTATAAAACAAATATAATTAAAAACAATTTGAGGTTTAGAATTAATATATTTATTTATATACCATCCATTAACGTGTAAATTATTGAACAAAATTCTTGCAGCTGGTCGTGTGAATAGTTTAAAGCCACATTGTGTATCTTTGATACAACGTACACCAAATAACCAGACATGAGTATGAAAGCACATCATCAAAAAAGTACGAAATATACTTCTTTGAGTAATAGATTCTGACTCTAAATGGGCACGTGAACCACACACAACTGCATGTAACTTAGTACCATATTCAGTAATATCATCTAGTTAAATTTAAAAAATGTATTAGGTATTAAAAGAAAATTTAAAAACGTCTTAAATAAATTAAGTCAATGTTGCAACTTGCAGCAAGTTAAAAAATAATATATTTAAATACAAGTAAAATGTATACAATGAATTTAATTGATGAATAAGATAACATTTCATAAATCAATAACCCAATATTAAATGTTCTGTAAAGAAATAAATTTAAAACTTTAAGCGTTTATCAGTTGTCGTTAAAGTATGAAATTTATTATTTGATAATATCACATAATGCATTAGTTAAAGTATTTACATTAAAATTAAATTAATACTATATTCATAAAGTAAAAAAAAAAATATGATAAGATTTGTATGAAATAATTGATATTCTATACAATCTTAAATTGAGAACAGTTTAAGAAAATTTATAAAATAATTATTTAGATACTAAAAAATATTAATTAGATTTAGAAAAAATGGAAACAAAAATTAAAAAACTGATAATTTTTGTATAAATATTACATGAATGTACAGTAATATTTAAAAAATCTTGAATATTTCCATTATTTTTTTTTTTATTATTTTAATGTAAATAACAAATGATAAGCAATAAATAAAAGGGTAAAAATAAAAAATTACTGTGGAATTAAATAAAAGTAAGGGAGATGATCATACATTATACATATCAATGCATATTTTTAAGAATTGAAGTACTATTTGGCTATGTGAATTATTTTTTATTATTTAATATAAGAATCAACCTAATTGTCATACGAGTTACCAAAAATGAAAAAAAAAATTTATTTAATTTTAATCTTAACAAAATCCGAAAGGAATTTATAAAATATCTAATTATAAATTATATAGTGTATCACCTTAATTTGGTTAGAGTATAAAGTATTTAAATATTTTATGAAATAATACTATTTCATATTTTAATGCTAACATATCTAAAAATACAATATAATGGTCATATAGTTATATACAATTACTAACGTAGTAAATCATTCAGATACATACATATTCAACTTTAAAATTTGGTTATCATATAAATAAAACCTTGTTTTTAAAACTTGAGAAATAACTGATGTAGTATTTATTTAATTATGTTTTTAGTCGCTTAAGAACAAAATATCTCATATATTTTTTATTATTACTTGACGTTAAGTTGTGTAATGCTATTTCTAATTTTTCTAAATCTTCAAACTTTGTTGCACCATCAGCATCAGCAAATAACAAAGTACGTCCACGTGCACTTTGCATTCCCTGTATGAAAAAATATTTTAATTATTTTATATTTGGAATATTTCATTCATCGGCAAAAATTCAATAACTTTACTCACCATACAAACTGCTCCTCCCTTTCCACGGTTTTGCAATAATTTTAAAAGACGTATCCGATCTGAACTATATTGTTGCACATATTCCATGACAACATCACATGTCTTGTCAGTACTTCCATCACTAACAACAATCACTTCAAACGTACATTTTCGATTGGCATCAGTCAAGAAATGTAAGCATGATTCGAGCATTGGCCTTACTAAACACAAAATTTTAAAACAAATGAAATAAAAAGATAAATCTGTCTTACTCCTGTCTTGTTCGTTGAACGCAGGCACTATGACCGACAAATCCAGAGTGCATTCGTCTTTCAGACTAGGGAACAGCACTTGTTGGCCGTTTTCATCCGTGAAGTGTTTTTCATTGTCGGCCCTTAGCTGATGCGTGTAAGGAGATTCCTTAAAGTACAACATCCAGTATAAATACGTTATGAACAGCAACTGAAACACGGGAGAAGTTTAGTATAAGAGCGATCGAACGCGACTACGATAGGTACTAACTAGGGCTCCGATAATTAATTGTTGGATAAATGGCAACAATTCATAAAAAGTAATCATCGGCGATGGATCAACGAAATTATTAATTACTTCTGCCTCCGTTTCCATTATCACGTACACGTCATGCCAATGTGAACGAGGTACAAAGGTGAGTAATAAATACTTGAAACGTCAAAAAACTGTTGACGAGATTCGGACTACGTACTACATTAGCAACAGGAGCTGTTAGCGGTGATGTGCCGCCGCGGTGCATCGTATCAGTTGGCTGTCGACTTTTATTTCTTATCCTTATCTGTTTGGGGGTAAGATAGACACGTACAAAATTCGGTAGAAGCCTTATCTCAGAAGTAATGTTTGATTATAATTTGTTATTGTATTTTATTTTATTATTATTATTATACCGCACGTATGAAATAGTTTACGTTTGCTGATAACAGTTTTGTTTTTTACCGATTAAAATTTTAAATTTATTACCCAGTATAATATAAATATTATGTTATAACATTTGTTGTTTGACGCTGCGTGTATATACACACATTTGCTGACGATGACTGCACTAGTGTATTGCGACAATATCAAAATAACGAAAAATAATAATATCTAATGTTTTTAAACTGAAAAATACAAGTCCTATCTGCATATTTTGAAATAAAAAAAATGAAGTTCTTGTTTTATTTCTCATTAATAAATTTACTGCTTACTCGACATAGTATGTGTTCACGTCATTATGACAGACATCGTCTCTTAGAATTAAGGTGTGTCTCGAGGATTTCCTATTTTTCACCTGAACCAATAGAAAAATTAAATTAATATTTTATTTTTAAAGATCGGAAGTGAAAGAAATGTTTGAACATGCATATCACGGCTATATGAAATATGCTTATCCTTATGATGAATTACGACCATTGACATGTGATGGTGTGGACACTTGGGGCAGGTACCTTGTTCAGAGTCATTTCAATAATGGAATATACAATAAACATGTTATAACTTATTTATAGTTATTCATTATCATTGATTGATGCTCTAGACACTCTAGTTGTGATGGGACTACATGATGAATTTAATAAGGCAGTTGAATACATAAAATATAATGTTTCATTTGATGCTGATATCAATGTATCAGTTTTTGAGACAAACATAAGAGTTGTAGGTGGACTTCTAAGTGCTCATATGCTGTCTCATAGGTAAACAACTGTTTTAAAAACTCAATATTAATTACAATACATTTATCATACCTATTGTTATTATTGTTCTTTATATTTAGAGCTACAACTGAATTAGAAATTGGATGGCCGTGTAATGGACCACTGTTACGTATGGCTGAAGATGTAGCTAGAAGATTATTACCAGCATTTGATACCCCTACTGGTATGCCTTATGGAACAGTTAATCTTCGATCTGGTGTACCTGAAGGCGAAACAACTGTAACTTGTACGGCAGGAGTCGGTACATTCATATTAGAATTTGGAACTCTTTCTCGGCTAACTGGTGATTTTATATTTGAACAGGTAAATAATAAGTAAAGCTAGGATTTAAATACCTAAAAAATATATTTGAATGCACTAAAAAAATGCAAAAATGTACTTCAATAAATGAAAAAAATTTAATTTTAAAATAATAATTATTATTAATTATTATTTATTCATTTTTATTTATCACCAAATAGATAAAAATTTGTTAAAAAAAGTAAATTAAACAAATATATTCAAATTTTAGTTGACAATTAATTATATATTATTTTCAATATCAATGGATTGGAGTAAGTGATTGGGATTACTTATACAACACATATTAAAAAAAGCTTAAAATAAACAAAAATGAGTTTAAATACACAAAATTAGCATAATATTTGTTAAAATGACCTAAAAAATGCAAAATAAAAATTACACATTCTAAATTTTTATATAAATATACTTTAATTTTTTTCAAATTCAGTTGAGGTGATTTACAATTTAAGTTAAGTGGTCAAAATATTATTATATAATTGTATAATTATAATTGTAGTAAGTTAAATTAAAAATATTTGATATTTTGTTACTATCAATGACTTATCTTTGCAAATTATTTCTATATTTTTATAATTGTATTTAATTGTTCTTGATTTTTACAATTTATAAAGATTTTAAGCCATCTGAGTTTTTAAAAAATTATAAATTAAATTATGAACATTTCTATAGCTGGTAATTATTATTTTGTAACACAAATTTCTGTTCTCTGTTCATTTCTTAAAATAATTATTATTTAGATTTTGAATAATTATCTTAATTAATGTTAATTTAGTCTAAGCAGTCAATCTGATTTCTAATTCTAATATTTTATAAATAAATAAATTATACCACTATAAAATTCTACTACTGTAAAATAAATCATTTTCTAAAATAAATAATAGCCTAATTAATCAATATATGTAGGTATAATAGATAAAGCTTATTATAGTTCAATAAAAATTAATTTTTCATTCATAATAATAATATAGTTACAATGAAAATAGGTATATTAATACTTATAGGCTTGACAGAATATTTATTTATGCAAACCTTTTATAATTTAGTGCGTAAATGTACTACACAGAATCAGAGGTCGTTAATATTTTGAATTTTTAATTAATAGGTAATTTTAAATATTAATTTTAAAGTTAATATATCTGATAAATATTTATAGTATTTATTTTAAAATTATATTTAATTAATTAAAATATTACACATAATTTGTATAAAAATGATAGTGAACATTACTACATTAGTCACAATCCATGGCTATATAAAATATATAAATATTTGTTTAAATGAAACATATCATTTGAATTATTTATATTTTAATATTATTTTTTTTTTTTTTTTAACAATAAATGATAAGTGAAATCAAAATGAACTTCTTTGTAATTACCAATTTTCTTTTAAAAATTATAATTATAAGTGATATTTTATTATTTGATAGGTAGCTTTAAAAGCTCTTCATTCATTGTTCAACCATAGATCTAAAATGGGATTAATGGGTAATCATTTGGACGTGGCTTCTGGATTATGGATTGCACATGATTCAGGCATTGGTGGTGGGATTGATTCATATTTTGAGTACTTAGTTAAAGGCTCTCTACTATTTAACCTACCTCATCTAAGAAGTATGTTCGATGAATTAAGAAAACCTATTGATAAGTACTCAGCTACTTCCACAGGATGGTATTTTTGGGTGAACATGCAAAAGGGTCAAGTAACAATGCCCATATTTCAGTCATTAGAATCATATTGGCCAGGGCTTTTAAGTCTAATAGGTAATTATACTTTAATATCATTTATGTTTAATAGTACATCGTTTTATTATAATATCCAAATACTTAACTTGATTTTATTATTTTGATTGCCATATTACTTTTATCAAATTAAACTATTTATAATATTTTAAATATATTCTTTTGTTTTAGGTGATATAGATATTGCCATGAAATCAATGTCAAATTATCATGATGTAGTTAAATTATATGGTTTTACTCCTGAAGTTTACAATGTTGTCAATCAAGAGGCTGCTAGAGATTCATTCCCATTACGTCCTGAATTAATCGAGTCTGCGATGTATCTGTACAAGGCAACTAATGGAGACCCTTATTTATTAGACATAGGTAGTGACATTCTACGCTCCATTCAACACAGTAGTCGCACACGATGTGGATATGCCACGGTAGTATTAAATATATATTTAAACATTATTTTATATTTATTTATGTTTTTCATATTTTTAAAGAAGAATATAAACTATGCTCAAGTAAAGTTTTTTTTTTAAATATTTATTTTAAAACAATTTTTTATGAATTTTATATCACTTATAGCTCATTAGAAAATAAAACTATTGGCTCAAGCACAGTTTATATTCTACTCTAAAAATTCAATAATATGTAAATTTTCTTTTATATTAAATATACATAAATGATAGTAAGAATCTGGTGTATAGATTTGTTATGTTACAAATGTATGAGATAGAACCAACACATTTAATTGGTACACGTCCGCTTAACTCATAATCTATAATGTTGATTTAAACTCAATATAATATATCTATAGATATATTACTATATTTCCAAAGTGATTACAAATTAATTTTTATTTGTATGGCTGTGATGATTATTAAAAAAAGAAAATATTAGAATATCAAATATAATACATAATATATTTATTTTAAAACAATAGTTATCATTCATCATACATATATATATATTAATTATACTATTATAACATACATTTTAAAAAAATTTTAAGTTTTTTTAACCACTGAATTTAAAAGCTCAAAAAGTATCAAATTATAATCAATACATGCACAGATTTCAAATTAATTTAATTTAATTGTTGCATGTTTAACTAAGTAAACAGTCTATACTCCATATCCATACCATTATTTATATAATAATATACAAACTAGCCTATATTGAAAAATTATACACCATGAAATATAATGATAAATAGAAATAAAAATAAAAATAATGGAATAAAGAATAAAATATATTTAAAAAAACAATTGCATAAGTATAGACTATTATACATATCATATATGTAAATACTATATATAACTTCAATTTAATGTATACAATGTACTTTAAGTGCATAATATAGAAGTAAATTTAGTTAAAAATACACTTTTTTAATAATATAAATGTATTGTTATTTATTAAAATGGATGATCATTTGTTTATACAATCCACATAAATATAACTTATAAGTGTTAAAAGCTAAGATGAATAGAGTAGTATGACATCAAGAGTGGGTACACTATAAAATGTTGGTTTACTACTATATTTTTCTAAACATTCAATAATTGTAGCTAATTAACTATTTATTTAAAATTTAAATTTTACATTTTAGTTTCCTCAGATAAATATTTTACTTTGGAATATTAAATCTTAATAATTTTATGAAATACATAATTTGCATACATTTTTTTGGATTGTCTTATAAATATAATAGAACTAGTTGATGCTTACAGATTTTCCCAGATCAAAATTGTGTCTCTGATTGGCTTTGCATGCTTATATTAAGTCTAAACGTTTGTTTTTAGGAGAACTTTGCATAACTTTTAGACAAAATACAAATTTAAAAAAAAATACTAATATTAACATATTAAATATATACGAATACCTATATTCAATTTTTCCAAATTATAAAGTTAATATTACTTTTCAACATGATAAAGTTATAGAAATTAAGTTATGATTTTCTAGCTTGAAATCAATAATCCTAGTTAAGTTGAATCTATTTTAATTGATTAGGTGGAGTAAAATTTTTTTGACTAGTTATTAGATTTAAAACAAAATAATGTACTTAGTACTTCAAAAGTAATAACAAAATTCAAAGCAATTATAATATTTTTTTAAACATTAACTTAACTTATTCATTTTTTCAACTTTGTTTTTAGATTAAAAGTTGCAAGAAGCATTCTCTTCAAAATAGAATGGAGTCGTTTTTCCTCGCTGAAACAACTAAGTATCTTTATTTACTTTTCGACCCTGATAACTTTATACATAATGATGGAAGCCATGGTAAAGTTTGGAACACAGCTGGTGGCCGCGAATGTATAATCGATGCTGGTGGATACATTTTTAACACAGGTAAAACTTCTTTATTCTTAAATATTATTAAGAATGAATGTTTTTTAAGAGTGAATGTATTCCTAAAGAAATATTATCAAATTTATAACAATGATGTTTTATTTTATTTTTTCTGTCATATTTTGAAGCAAAACATTTTCTCTATTCTTTCATATTATTAATAGTTTTTGCAAAAAAATTGATAAAGATTTTAGTTAATACTTTATGTGATCAAAAGAAAGAAATACCTACTATATTTTTTTTTAGCTATCGGGAAAATAATAACAAAAAGATAAAACTGAAATATTATCCAACTACTACTTTTAACCAAATTGATTTGATATTTTTTTTAATTTTTTTTGTGATTTAGTATAATATAACAATTTTGGAGACTTAAAACTTTTTTCCATTACTGATATTATTATTTTCCATGAATTATGATATTTTGAAATATTTAGACTAATTTCAAGTTAATTATTCCACAAACCTATTTACATCATTATACTGTGCAATACACATTGATTTAATTTATTATTTTAGAATATTATTATTTTATCATAGTAATATAGACTATCCTAAATCCTTAGAAATACGTATGCTAATTCATTTGGTGTAAAATATTACAATAATATGCTATTTTAAAATATTACAATTGATAATTATGATTAGGTACTTATTTTTTCTACTTTGCCAAATCTAATGATATTTATTGCATAATATAGGTAATATTGGTGTTTAAGTTACTGTCTGTATGTAAGTGTGATATTTATATTTCATGTCAACATAATTATTGTTTTACATTTTGGTGTTTACATAATTTATTTAATTAATATGCTCTAAACATACAAATTACTATATTAGTATTATTAATTATTGATTATGTTAATTACATTGTATAATATTGTGTAAATATAAATTCCAATATTAATGCTTTTAAATTTTAGTTTTAAGTATAATTTATATGATTTATTTTTCTCTTAAATTCTACATTTAAATAAATATTTAGTAGACCTTATTTTCTTGATAAAATAAACAAAATAATTAAATAATTTGTTATTTTTAATATAACTATATAAGCCAGAATTTCCCAAATTTTTTATGGTACGATCTATTTAAGAAATTTTTTAAATTTTAATGGCCCACAATACATTTTTACTTGAAAAAATACATTTACTTTGATCATTGACTGATTGGCATGACAAAAATAAAAAAACAATTCATTTTATTTTTTAAATTTTAATGTGAAAGTTGTGATTGTTTCCTATTTTTTATTATTTCATTAATATCCACTTCAACATTTTTAGCTTGAGACGCTATAAGTATGGCAATTTCAATTTGCTTTATAATTTAATCTTGACAGCAACTGTTGTCGAAAATTATACTTTACAATTATCTGATGAAATTAATTGGAGTAATATCTTTACAGCTTCATTGGAAAATGTTGAATTAATTTCTTGAAAAAAATAACCAGAAACGTATTAAATATTTTCGATTGCAATTCATTTTTAATAAACTATCTTCAAATATTTTAATTAATTCTTCTTTAGCTCTTATTGATAATCCATTTGTCATGCCATGATCTTAAAAAGAATTTGAAATCCATTTAATTTGTTGCTAGGTCTCCATCTTACTCAGAAAATACGAATCAAAATTATTTATCAGTGTAGGACGTAGGTATTCAAATTATGAGCAATATATGTAACTATGTTATCATCAACTTCTATTTGATTTTTAACTATAAAATTAAAAAATGATTTTCAGATAGTCATAATATATTTTTTTTATACTATTTTTCCACAACGAAAGTTTTTTCAAAATTGCTTGAATTTTTTCGTGAACTACAAGTATATCTCTGTCTTTCCTTTGCAAATAATTAATCAAGTTCGTTTAATTTTAAAAGTATAATTGCCATGTAGATAAGTTTTAAAATAATTTTTTCATTATGTAAACATTTTATGTACTTAATCATTTTTTCTTGTCCAAATAATATGTGACTTCTACATGAAGTTCAACAAGTTTTGTAAGAAATTTTCCCCTCTATAGTAGCATTTCTATTCTACCCATTTCTTTATTAGTATATTTTATTTTTGATAGAATTTGAATTATTTGTGAATTTTAAGTGCGCTTAATCGTGTAATCAAAAAGGTACAAAGAGCTCTATTGTTTGATAGTCATACCCTTCATTCATAATGTTTTTTTTTTATGTATAATAATTATTTATCGTTCAATTCAAATTTAACAAATCCATTATCCTACTCAAGGTACCCCTAGATTTTTTTTAGTTAAACATTTAATTTGTTTAAGCTTATTTATGTGGTTATTCTCACCGTAAGCTAATATTCTTTATCTTTTTATGTAATTTTATGATTAATGTATTTTTATAATCTATTTAGAGGCTCATCCTATAGATCCTGGATTATTGCACTGTTGTTACATAGCTGACAACAACGATTGGTCGCATCGTCAACAGCCAAAATATCAACGTTTTATGAAATCGTCGTTGGTAGTCGACAAAAAAAAAGAATCAACCAATCAAGGTATGTATTAAGTAAAAATAAAAAATTATGTTATGAGTTAAAAATACTCTTGTATATCGGGAAATAGCGAATGGTGAATTACTTAATGACAAGGCGATAATGGTTGTAATTTGAAATTTATATTATATTTAATTTGATGTCTTTAACTCATCATTTAAATATAAATACTTAATGCTGTTATGTTTTAGTATGAGGATGAGTATAAGAGTTTTTTCTTTGTATATATAATATGTATAATGTATATTTTCATAATGCAAACTAAGGTAAGTACATTTTGAATACATATATTATTTTATCTTTTACGAAATTTGTATACCGAATTGTCTTTTTAGCTTTTGAGTTGATTGGTTTTTAGAATTTAATTAATTATCAGAAAATGATTTATTAAAATAATATTTTAATAATCAAAAATAATTCACATAAATAATATGGATTTTATTAATTGTACAACAATTATTAAGTAGATATTGTGTAGGTGACTAAGCGCGTTTTTGTGTGTCATATGGGTTTTTATAGATAATGTTCTGAGATGCCGCCTTTGCTCGTAATAAAATCATAGATTGTGGCATGACTAAAACATCTGTGGTTTGTATGTAAATAATCGGAGGATTAAAATGCATTGATAATTTTATAGTATTTAATTTAATTTATTAAATCTAAATGTCCTTTAATTTTAATGTTATCTAATAAATATGTACAATTGAATATAAACTTTAATGATATATTATAATATTTATCATTACAAAATATTATTTACTCTTTATGATTTTGTATGCATGATGTATCACACATTTTGTTCTAGTAAAATTGATTTTGAAATAAAAGTTTTTTTTAAATTTTTGATTCCTCAGATAATAATATATTAAAAATATATTCAATATTTCAATACGCATTAAATTTGCTGAATGTCCTTCAACTTCAAATGATATTATAAATATTTTATTTTTCTATTTTAGTTATTTGTAAAAAATCTAATATATTAATTTCATTCTTACTTGTATTATTGTACAAAAATATTATTATCTAATATATTACCTACAAAATCAAATACTTTTTCTTTAGTTGTAGCAGTGGTGGATTTGAGAGGGGGCGATGTGGCGATCGCCTAGACTTTTTTGTTGTATCTAATACGGATAGGCAACTGGTGGCCCGCGAGCCTTTTTTATCTGGCCCGTGCTACATTAATTCACATTATAAACAAAATAAATAAAATGCTAATTAAAATGCATATTTTGAATGAACAGTTTTTTTTTGTACTCTTTGTGTTCTGGCTTGCTAGATTTTAATTTTCTAAAAATTGACTCTCTATAGTAATACCAATTCGCCCCTTCCTTAAATGAGCTTCAGATCCGCTACAGGGCCGTAGTGTACAGAAATTCTTATAATTTATATAATTCAAAGTAAATCTATGATACATTACCAATGACTTAGTAAGATGCTAAAATAAACTATCGATTTTAATATCTTCATTATCTTCAATATTTATTTATAAATATGGGATACCTGCTACACACTATACACACTTAATTATTAAAATACAACATATATATAATATGTATATATATTATATATTATATAAGTAATGGGTATAACTATAATTCCTAAACATATTATTATAATTATAAATAATGAAACTTGGAGACAACTGTTCTTTTTTTATTTGTTGTACATTGGTATATTCGTACATTACAACGAACACACAGTTGTCGCATAGTTAATTATCGTAATTTCCTGTGTAAACTGTTACTTTTGTTATAATTTTAATCGTTGAAATTTGTTTAAGTGCTTCTTAATATTCCCCTTTATTTTTAGCTATCCTATTTATGTAAGGTCAGCTATGTGGCTTGTTTTATAAATTTATAATATTATTTTATGTTTTTAAAAGTCAAAAGTTATAATTGTCATTTGTCATGGTTTAATGGTTAATGTATACCGTAATGGCATAATTATTAACATAATTGTACAGTTATATAAGAAAAACGTATATGTTACTATGTGTAACAATTAATAAATAAAGGAGTTATAAAGTAATAGGTTATGCGTCGGTATTTTAGCATTAAACAAAATTAGAAAAAAAAATTAAGCATCTCCACCCAAAAAAAAAAATTTTAGCTACGACACTAATTATTGTTGGTTTATTTACTCAAAAGTAATAAAACATACATGTTTATTAATAAATAGAGTAGGCTACTATGAACTATAACTAGATTTTTAATTTGATAAACCTTCAGTGATTATCATTCGTTATAACTTATAAGTTTTTGTTATAATACTAATAACAGTAACAACCGAACTTAATAATAATAACTACTTAATGAATAATCACAAACGAAAAGTTGCATAAGCATACTATATACTTACATGGTATATTTTTAAGTGTACCGACTATATCCTATCAATATTTTACTGATTGTATTAACTAGTTCTATTTATTTAATAAATTTTCTGAAAACATTTGAATTCATCAACTAGTTTACTTGATGATGGCCTTCTATTTTTTTGAAATTAAATTCTAAAACTCTTCAAAATTTAAAAATAAAATTTTGAATATTAATAATATTAAACTAAAGAAATTAATATGAAAATGTAAAAAAAAATTCAGGTTAACTTAATGATGAATTATTATATTTTTTTAGACATTTTAATATTTTATTAGATAAATACGAATCGTAAAACTATTTAATACAATTGACAAATAATTAATATTTAAAAATAATACTACTATTGTCTATTTATGAAGCGTGTTATTAAAATGTATGTGGACAAGAACTCTCCACTATTTCTTTTATACTTATAATTCTGCTATCACGTTCACATAAACTAATGATCACTGATTATAGTTACTTAGTAATTACGCGTTTTAACGTTTACATGACATTCGTTTGATGAACACTTGTAAGATTGCCTAAATTTAACTTCATGAAAACGATCATATCGAATCTTATTGAGGTACTCGCATTTTTTGTTTACATTTTATTAACGCATACTTTACCAAAATATACGTTTAGCAGTTCCAATTGTGTGTTAAGTTTAAATATTAGAGTGAACTGATCCATCATTAAACTTTAAGGTAATAAAATTGTCTATGTTCTTTCATCGGTATTTAATTAATAACGAGTTATAAGGAAATAAAATACTAATATTTAAAAATACTTATAATTCACTTGAAAATTAAAATATCGTAAAAAATCTACAAAGGAACACAAATAATGTTCTTACCTTTCAGTTTAATAATAAGTCGATTCACTCTAATATTTAAGCTAAACACACAAAATTGCTTTTATTGAACGCAAATTTACCATGTACGTTTATAACAGAGATAACACGCACAAATATGACGAAGTATTAACTGTGTTTTATTAAATCTATAAAAATAATTTTTATTAAATTAATGAATATCATATTAATTTATATATGGCATATATTATACACTTGTATATGAGCAATCTCTTTACATAATAGATAATGGAACAAATTATTTTAGCACTACTAAGTTTACATCTAATACGTTAATATGCAGCTATATCGCTTTATGACTAGTCGAATAGGCTTAAAAATATAAATTTATAATGCGAAAAACCCGTAAAAAAATTGAACTTATTCTTACTCTGCCTTTTTTTTCTTCCCTCATCTTTAGCTAAAGACACCGTGACTGAAGAGAACAGCAATTCTGCAAGTGGTCATGGTTTCACCGTGGACGAGAGCAGCGTTTATTGGACACAACAAACGCACGAAGATCAACGACCACAGTTCAAAAACGACCATCAAAAACCAACATTGGCTGCTGATGCGATTTCCGGAAGATCACCGACAATAGAATCGTTGCAACCACCGCCGATGCCGCCTCCATCGTCACGACCTCCAGTGATTTATCGGATGGACGACCAACTGCAGGACAACAAGAAAAAAGAGAACGATGGAGAAACCGCTGACGATAGTGACAAACAGTTCGAGACTTCAAACCAATTGCAAGAGAGTGCTGTAAACCTAGATGTTTCCGGTTCGGTAACGGCGGTCGATTCGAACGATTTCCACGACTACGATGACGGTTTTAAAGATTTATCGTCTTCTGACCGCCAATATCAACAGTCGACGTCAGTTGACTATGATCGCGATCGCAACGCCAACGGTGACGACGAAAATTGGAAAGCCAAACAGCACCGTTGGACAAGTGAAAAACTGCAACAGGACGACGAAGACGCCTCGATGACCGGACATGACGACGGTGACAACGGTTATCAAGTGCTCTCATGCCCGGCGACGAATAACTTTTACACACATTACCGGTGGTAATGTCGGGCTGATGAAAAAATGTCTCACCTAGTTAATCTACCTGGTATCCTTGTTGATTTATTTATTTATTATTATGATATTTTGATAATTTTGTTGTTGGACCAAAAAATATAATATTATTATTAACACCGCATAGTTTAATAATATTATAATACGTATATAATCGGATTGTATCTATCTACCTACCTACCTGTTCTGAATATATCGTAATTATTGTTTTATTTATGTATTTCATACTGTATTCTGAATACTTAAAAAAAATTGTTTTTACTATTTAGTTTTTTTTTTTTCATGTTCACAAACCAAACACTAACCAAAAAGTAATAATAAATATAGGTACCTATGTACAACGTTATTTATTATTCTCTTATGTTCTTTAAAAGACTTAATTTTTTATTTGAGATTCATAATGTGTCTTAAAAATACACTGAATAATTTGGATATACAATTAATGTTTTTTAATGATATGGTTTTAAAATATATACCTATTGTGAATACTATTTATTATTTTTTATTAATTACTATCTAAAACTTTTGAAGTGTATTTAATGCATATCTGACCCAGCTATGCTGAACAAAGTACATTTTTTATTCGTTTATTTTATTGTATGTTGAGAATAATTGACGATTGTGCGTAAAAAACACCTGTCGCCCCAAAATATACTTTATAACAATAATTCTCAACTTTTTTTATGCTCACGGCGCGCATTTCTTATAATTATACAGTCTGACGGAACACTAATAGTAATAAAATAATGAGAAGCAAACTAAAAAATGCATTTTTATATTAATATATTTTTATATAATTATAAATTAATATTTAATAACACTATACACATGTACTACGGTCGCGGCACATCTACAGCCAGTTCGCGGCATACTTGTGTGCCACGGAACACCGGTTGAAAAACATTGTCTTATAACTAGCGCTCGGATTTTTATGCAAAAATATTTATACAACATATTTATGCACTCAAAAATGAAAACATATTTTTTTCGTGTGTTAAAAAACTAAACGTTTAAAAAAAAGTGTATCAAGTGAAAAAAATACAATTTAAAATGTGTAAATGTGTATACAACATAAAAATGTATATTAATCAATTAATAATTGAATGAGTACGGGCATGATGTAACAAAATATGCTTTTAAATTATCAAATTAAAATTTCTACGATTGTCACTTAGCATCGCCTTGTACTTCGAAGAATACTTGGGCAGTGCTGACGATGAACGATTTGCGTGTGTCGGATCTCGAAGGAGAAATCGCGTGAAAATCGGATGTCAACGAAACGACAATCGACAACGGCACTGCATGTAGTGAACATAACGGTCAAAATTGTATACAATATAGGTTGCAACGACGATGGCGAGTGCTGTGTTGAGCGATGACGGCTCGAAGAGGCATGAAATCGCGACGGATCTTACGGTAGGTTATTTATAAATATTCAAATTGGTATTTAACATAGATTTACCGTTCTTACATTTTGAGCTACTATTTGTCCTTAGTTTTAAGTGTACACATATACACTCATACACTTAGCACTCACAAGATTTGCTCGGTGATCCTGTCCACTTCCTGTTGAGTGCTATGTATAAGTATACGGGTCGGTCGGTGTGTAGGACGTGCAAAGTATTTTGGTAACCGGGCCGCAGTATTATTTATTATTAATACACATGTACTGCCGAAGGAAGTACAAAAAACATTGATGAGATTTGATTTTAAATTATTGAATAGATTAAAATTCATAAAGAATTTCTTGTTTTATCTAAAATTTTAAAATTGTACAAATATTCCCCATAAAGATTCTATTTATAAAAAAAATTACCAACAAATCACATTTTATGAGCGATTGAAGTTCAAATTTCTACAACATTAGATCCGTAATAATATATCCTCAATAAATTTCTGATATTTCATTGTAACTCAGAAATGAATAACTAGATATTTTCATCAAGTGTTTATTTTACATTTTTTATACATGATAAGACTGTTATAATATTTTATCTATTTTTGTGTTATTTATAAAAAAAAAAAATGTTTACAATTTTTATCGGTAAAATCTTTCTTGATGGTTTAAAAAATTTGACAATTTAATACATGGTTCCTCATAACTTCCGCCACTGGTTAGCTGTTGACACGTGCGCATCAACACAACAATGCTCACGTAATAAAATTATAATAATATTAATATTAATTGACGGCACCCAAAACACTCAAAACTGACCGTTACACCGTGGAGATCGCAGCAACACAATATGTTAATAGGGCGATGATCGTGATAACACGAGACAATATAAGTTTTACGTAGGTAATGTACGATATCCTTATCCTTATAATAGTATGTATAAATAAAAGAAAAAGCCTTTTTTATGTTCTCATTTTGTAACGACACTATTTAACATTTTTACAATTTAATTTGACAATTTTGTACCAAATACTCCTACAAATGATTTATAATTCCCAATTTAATTTTATTCGTCATTGGTCATTACTAAATACTAGGGTTAAAATGTTTATGACCTTAAAAACACTAAAAAATGCATGCAAATATGCTCTTAAAAAAATTAAATATATTGTCTTTTTAAAATTAGTTTATTACTAATCCAAAATGTATTCCTAATTAGTTTACAATACTATTTTTATAACTTTAAATTTAAATACAAATATCTACATACAAGTATGAAATTTTTGAAACTAAAAATATAGGTAATTAAATATAATTTTGTTTTTACTTATAAGACACAAATATACATAAAAATGTAAATGTAAGTCATAATGTCCTATCGACATCACTATACTATCGCGATCATTGTTCATAAACATGATTATATTAATTAATAAGCTTAAAGTTATAATGAAGATAAATAAATTAATAATATAAACTATACGTTTTTCTCGTTTTTGTTAGTTATGAAACCTAAAAATGCCTACCAGCTATGGTTTTATATTGATGTTTAATGTTTATATTATATTTAAGTTATCTTTTAGATGAAAAATGCATTTATTTACAATTTTTTGGCAAAATAATATGCATTTATTCATAAAAATCCCGTAATATGCAAAAATTTGCAAAATAAAATTGATTGTATCTGATTTTATTTCATACAAAACGAATTTATTACTGGGTTTGCAATGTGTACGACTAAAAGAAAAAATATGCAAAAGTCATAAATATCCTAACCCTAGTCATCACAATTATAATCGTTTACGCAGTAAATAAATATTTGCCGAAATTATAAACTACTGCAGATTAATATAATATTTTTAATAATAGTTTTATTATCAGGAAAATACCGTCTAGCTCAATTATATAAATTGTGTTATCGAAAAATAATTATACGCTTCTTATCAATATTATTATTATTATGATAATTGTTTAATTTATTATTCAGCTACTGCCTACTACTACTACTATTTAGCACTTGATAAAATTAAGTAAAATAAATTTATTTCACACAACAATGGGTGTTGATTTAGTAATTCCATTTTGAGAAAGCACATACTACACACAGGCGAAACCAGGTAATTCAGCTAGTATATATATATATAAGTTTTACGTAATACAAAAAGCACGAGATACGATATATGTATACAACTCAGGTCGCAAGACGGTAAGTTAGGTGGTAGATATATGAGTATCGACCTACTTGTACATAAACATATTTTTTGCATAAGTATTTGGTCAAATTTTGGCAAAATAAATAAAAATCGCCGAAATTTGAAAATTTATTTGTAGGTAGTTAAAAATGTATAAAGTGTTCAATACAATGTATTTTTTTAGTTTTAAAAATTTAATACAAGGTTTCATAATAATTAATTTTTATGGAATAAAAAAAAAATTTAAATATTTTCTTTTTATTGCAATAAATATTTTTTATCAATACATTGTTAAAAATGGGAAATATATGATCATAAAATTATATAATATAAAAATACTTAGAACCACTAATGATTATATAAATATGAACAATAATAAAACGTATAATACACATAAGAATATCTTGCGTAGTTAATAACCCCACGATTTTTTTTAATGAATAAATATTTGTTCAATTAAATTTAAAAATTTTGAAATTTTTCTTAATATTTGTACTTAAGTATTTAAACTTGAACATGCCGTGCTTGGTGAGAAACATAACAGTTATATTTAGTTATATTGGCCGAAACATAATCGCGGCGAAACAGTAAGTGTAGAATAGAAATCGTTCACGTCCTATACTCTAATAACATACTGCATGACATCTTTAAGAACTATAGCAGTCAACGCTGGGATTATACTCTTGTCAAAATATGCATCTTACGAATATAGCCCTGGTACCAAATTTTACGTTTTAAGTCACCCTCTTTAAATAACAACATCTATATATAGGTATAACTCTGTTTCAATCTGACCGGATGACCACTTCAATAGGTTCAGAAACGATTGTTGGAAGGTATTATAATAAAAAAAAAAAATCGTATTCGCTCTATTCAGACACAACACTGCGTTCAAGTCTTTGTAAACTGCATACATCGTCGGAATGATCGTCTTACCAACGAGATGCATGTTACGCATATATTCCTAATACCGAATTTTGCGTTTTAAGTCACCCTCTTAAACAACAACATCTATATAGATAAAGTAAAATATACTTTGTTAACGACTTGCCGCTCTCTGGGGTATCTCGCACGTATTCAAAAATGTTGTACGAAGAATGTCGCTGCGTGATAATATATATATATATAACAACGAAACACGGTACGAATCTTTCAAATGGTGTTTTGTATCCAACAGTGTTCGTACATGAGCATAATTATTTTATAAACATTTAATTAAATTCTGGCCAAATTGATAGAACCACAAAAATTTGTAATTTGTAGTTAAAAACGTATTAAATGGTCGATAAATATCTTTTATAATTTGGTCGTAAAATGTAATCCAACGTTTATTATTAATCAGTTTTTATAGTAAATATTTGTTGAATTCAACTAAATAAAAACAATTAAAAGAAATTTTCTAAATATTTGTCCCTCTTTAAATAAAATTTTAATGAGCCGTATTTGGTGAGAAACAAAACAGCTTCTATTTAATCGTGTTAACCAAAACGTAATCGCGACATTACAACATGTGCAGAATAGAAATCGCACACGCCCTGTTCAAATGGGACACTGCGTGGCATCTTTGAGAACTATACAGTGAACGCTGATATAATAGGTACTCTCGCCAAAAGACGCGTCTTATGTATATATAGCCTTGG